ACGAAACAGTTTGTCACAGCCCCTCGTTTGTTGTCCTCTTCTCTCTCTCTGCCTACGGTTCACCGGGCAGTTCTGTTTGTGACGATATATATAAATATATAAAAAAAAGAGAAAGAGAGTTTTTTTTTTAATACAAATAACCCCCGCTCCCCACCTTACCCTTTCCCGCCATTAGTCCTTTCTTACATGACCCATAAAAGAAAATAATAAACGACAAAATGAAACGACACCCGCCTCACCTATCGCCTCCACACACACACACACTTCAGCAGCAGACGGGTGTGTTCGCACTTGGCGCTTAACCACACAAAAGTGGCCAAACTTGAATCTCTTACTATCTTGCGTATCTATACTTCTTTTGTTCTGTGGATGGTTTATGATGAATCGTGGATGGAATGAGAGAGAGAATTCGTTGTTTTTTTTAAACGCACACACACATATGCTATTATGCACGCAGTGTCACACACTCATGCACAAACAGAGTCCACACACAGACAAACAAACACATGAGAAGGAGCCATGGCCACAAGGCTTTGTCTTTCCTGACAAAAACAAAATGTTTTTTAAGGTTAACCGTAAAGAAAAGTGTAAAGGCAATGTGGAACTTGACTGACCATTTCTTCTCTTCGTTATCTGACACAAAACAATTCTAAAGAATCTAAACTCTAAACGCATAATCACATGTGTATTTTACTATTTTCCTTATTAACATATCCACTTGCAATTATGGCCAGGTTGAATCAAGAAAGTCCGTGTGTGTATGTCTTGACGAACCATCTCTAAGTCCAGATGGAAACTCTTAACCAATACATTGCATGCAAACTAGAAAACAGTTACAGGGAAACAGACATTCCATACACACAACCCACACACTCAAAAACAAAAACAAAAAAAACAAAACAAAAAAAAATCATGTAAGCAATTACACAGAAGCTATGACATATATACCTTTCTCGGCCTTTTGGCTAAGATCAAGTGTAGTATCTGTTCTGATCAGTTTAATATCTGATCCGTGGTCCATCGGACCACAAAAAAAAAAAAAAAAAAAAAAGAAGAAGCTATGACATATAGGCTGTGGCAGTTATGGCATTGTTCTTACATGTAAGCTACTAGTGCGAGGCTACGCCCGCTTAGCCCCTATGGGGCCCTATCTGCAACAAGGTCGGCCGCCCTAAGTGAAGGCAGGCACGACAGGCCCTTCGGGCCTCATTCTTCAGGGTACCCC